CCCTGTGAGCCTGAAAACGGGTTGAAACCCAACCGGTTTTTAAACTTTGATGAGAAGTTGTAGCTGGCCTGTGACTTGGGCTGCTCTTGCTGGCCCTGGAGGGATGTAGCCAGCCATGACCGCTCCAGCAGCTGTAGTTCCAGCTGAAGGGCTAAATCCCAACAAGTCTTCTGCTTGTGGAGATGGAGCTCTCCTGACTTCTTCTCCTGTAACCCCAGAAACCTGCCCAGTGTTCCCTCTAAGCTGAGTTAGTGTGAGCGAGCTCACAGTTTTTTAGCCTCCGGCTCACACATTTTTGTCTTCACTCAGGAAGGGAGGGCTCCAGAGCGGATTTTTTTTAAAAAAATGTTACTTTTGCAGCAGCTGCCGCCGCAACACATGAATCTTCCCTGTGTGACTGAAGGTGAACTGTGGGAACAGTTTTGTGGCTGGCTCCACCTCCTGTGGCAGCCATTATCCTGCCTTTCCTTTCATACAGGGCCTGCTCTCCCGCTAGTCCCGCAGTCCCCAACCTAGCAGTCCCCAACGTGGTGCCTGCCAAATGCTTTTAGAAAGGGGGTGGAGCCAGATAGAGCCTTTGCCCAGCCAGACTTCTGATTGGTTGTGCGGATTTTTTTTAAAAAAATGTTACTTTTGCAGCAGCTGCCGCCGCAACACATGAATCTTCCCTGTGTGACTGAAGGTGAACTGTGGGAACAGTTTTGTGGCTGGCTCCACCTCCTGTGGCAGCCATTTTGAGGTGGGTTGTGCCCACCACCAATTTTCCCTCTAAGCTGTGGAGTCTTGTGAGCAAAAGTTCTACTTTGTGAGCTCCTGGCATCAAAGTTGTGAGCAAGTGATTTGGCTGCTGCATCAATCAGTTTGCTCTGGAGCCATCCTTCCTGAGCTATGACAAAAATGTGTGAGCCAGAGGCTAACAAACTGTGAGCTAGCTCACACTAACTCAGCTTAGAGGGAACCCTGCCCAGTAACCTCTGCACAGTGAAGATGCACTCATAACATCTGGTGAAGTCGTCTGTAGTCCATCAGCAGGTCATATGCAGTGTTCCCTCTAAGCTGTGGAGTCTCATGAGCAAAAATTCTACTTTGTGAGCTACTGGCATTAAAGTTGTGAGCGAGCGACTTGGCTCCTGCATAAATGAGTTTGCTCTGGAGCCATCCTTCCTGAGCCGAGACAAAAATTAGTGAGCCGGAGGCTAAAAAACTGTGAGCAAGCTCACACTAACTCAGCTTAGAGGGAACACTGGTCATATGTCTGATTAGCCTCAAGATTCCAGTTTGGTTATTAACTTTTCTGCACAGTGTCCTGGGAACTGGTCACTTGCATGCTGCTGTTTCTCCTCCTTGCCTGTCATTCCAGGTTCGTAGGCCTGGTCTCACTGGAGCTGTTCTAGGAAGGAGCCATGCCCACCTGTTACAGTTGGGCTGTGTCCATCGTTAACTCTTTCCTCTCCCTTGTCCTCTGCCCTGCAGGAGCTTCCTTCAGCTGGGTGCCGGTCTGAGCGTGGGCCTGAGCGGTCTGGCCGCCGGCTTTGCCATCGGCATTGTGGGCGACGCAGGCGTACGGGGGACGGCGCAGCAGCCCAGGTTATTTGTGGGCATGATCCTGATCCTGATTTTCGCCGAAGTCTTGGGTCTCTACGGCCTCATCGTTGCCCTTATTCTTTCCACAAAGTAAAAAAGAAAAAAATTAATTTAACAGCGCCACAGAATAAGATGCGTGTAAAAAAAGAAAAATATCGGAAAAGAAAAACCCAGCTCCGGAATGAAAGGGGTCTCTTTCTCTCTCCACACCACGTGTACAGTCGTCGTCATCAGTTTGGTAGTTGACCTCTTGTAAATGCGCAATGTATGTTAGTGACTCGTCCGTCCTGTGTGTAACTTCAATATTAAAAACCAACCCACCCACCCGGATGAGCTCCCCTCCAGCCTTCTGCAGGAGACTCGAGGGGCGCTCATGTGCAATTTTCCATCCATTTTGCCATTAGAGTACTTTATGTATAAATATGAACTAGAACTGTAATTCTCTCTCTCTCTCTCTCTCTTCACTGGATGTTTTATTTATAAGACTTGACATGTTCATACATAATGGAGCAACAGTTCCCAATTTCCCATGCGCTCTCTATATTAATCTCATATATAGGTAGATAATACACTGTGGGGTTAATTGTTTAAGTGCAGAGAAAAAAAAAATCCTTGGGTGTAACTTGATTCTCAAGATTGCTGTCGTGTCCTGGTATTGGAGTGTGAGACTGTTCCGTGTTTATACAGATAACAGCAAAACTGTCTGAGGCACTCCTGTGTTCCCAGTAGTTGAAAAAATAAAAATAAAAAATGTATGCTCCGGCATCCGAGTTGTGCACCCAGTGTTGGGTTCCGCAGTTATACGTTTCCAGGTAATAAAATTTCCTCCACTACATCATTGTAAAAGGGGCCGCGTCTTGTGTGAACGGTATGAAATGGCATTTCCACGCACCCGGTTTCTGTAACGGGGATTTAAATTGCCTGGTCCTCGTTGTACAACTTATTCAGCACTGAAGGCTCTTTTAGAACACACAGCAATTGACGCAGCTGCTAGTGTTAGACTCACAGGTGCTGCGTTCAGCCCCTTTGCTCACAGAAGGTCTGTGTCTCGTAGTGTGCCGGCGAGAGTGCAGGCGCCTGCTCTTAGAACACAAAGGTCCCCGACATTCATAAGAACATAAGAGACGCCAATGTTGGATCAGGCCAAAGGCCCATCTAGTCCACCACTGTCACACAGTGGCCAGAAATACCAGGTGCCATCAGGAGGTCCACCAGTGGGGCCAGACCATTAGAAGCCCTCCCACTGTTGGCCGGCCCCCCGAAGCACCAAGAAGACAGAGCATCCCTTGCCCCAGAGCCCCTATCTATACCTTGTGGCTAAGAGCCACTGATGGACCTCTGCTCCATATGCTTATCTAATTCCCTTTTGAAGCCGTCCATGCTTGTAGCCGCCACCACTTCCTGTGGCAGTGTCCATTGCCTGTGAAGTTTCTGCCCTTTCTTCCCCTTAGGACAACTTAGAAGAATGCCTGCTGCAGGCAGGACTTTAAAAAGAGCAAGGACAGCAGCCTTCCTGGTTGTGGGGACACGCAGGTTGGAGAGGGGCACCGGACTGGTGTAGTCACACAGTTCCAGAGCAGGAAATACTCCTCTTCCACTGATAAGATCTGCCTGCCAGGTGCGTCTTGGATGACCGGTGCTTTGTGAAGTATTCTTCAGCAGTTGCGGGAACTGATGTTGCTGTTCTAAGAATCCTAGACTTGGAAGGAACCTCCAGGGTCATCTAGTCCACCCACCTCCACAATGCAGGAAATTCACAAATACCTCCCCCTACACACACCTCCAGTGACCCCTGCTCCATGGCCAGAAGTTGGCAAAAAACCTCCAAGATGGCTAGTCAAACTGGCCTGGAGAAAAATTGCTTCCTGAACCCAGAGTGGTGATCAGCATTTTCCTGTTGCTGTTCGAGAAGACAAGTCCAGCTGCTTCCTGTGGAGCAATGGTTAATATAGCCAAAGGTTTTGCGTAGAAATGCAAGCCGCCTTAATCGTTTTCTGCAGAGGACTGCCATGTTTGCTCCCCAGAAGTCTGAAGGTACGCAGGGCTCTCCTGCCAACCGTCATTATCTAGTCTTGCTGCCTGAGACATATATTTTTTCCTCTCCTGTGTACACTTGCCATGTAGTGGTCCTAGTAAGGTATTGTGAGGCTCGTTTCCTTAATTTGGAAAAAGGAAGCACAGCTGCTATTGAGATTTGTCCCAGGCATCCTGAAGTTTCTCCAAGCAGTAAATGTATCCCAGCAGTAACTCCCTTGCTTTCTTAATGAAAGTGCCGTGGTAATCTGAGCTGGAGAGGATAGATGCCTGAGCTAGGCCCTGCCTCTTGAGGAAGGATTGTGGCTGGTGAACAAGCTGCAGTTCCCCGTAGGCTCCTGGGGCCTGAGACAGTAGCTGTAGGGGAAAGAGGGATGGGAAAACACCCTTTGGAAGGAAAGGGGTCGTACTATCTGGTCTGCCGGGGAATTTACTTTTGCAGGCCTTGATTTCTGTAACCGGAGCCCCAACCCTCTGTGAGCAGTCCAGCAAGCCAAGGAAGGCAGAACTCTCTGGTGATGTTCTCTCTAAGCAAGCTCCCTATTGGCCAGTTGCACATACAGGAACTGTAGATGCTGAAGATGCTTATCCCTGCCACAGGCAGAGTGGTGGTGGGGAGGTAATTGGCCCTTGTGCAAAGCACCTGGGAAGCCAGACAGCTGCGGGCGATGCTCTCAAGATAACCGGAAATGGACGGTTGCTGTATTGTTCGGCCATGTCACACACACACATTCACAAGCAGGATCCTACATTCCAGTCTGCCATGGGGGGGGGGAGCATGTCTTTGAGGCTCACCTTTTAAATAAAAGCATTTCAGAGCTTGATCCTTGTTATGTTGGAAGAGAGGCCCAGTGGGGAGTGTAGGTCTTATCGAAAAAGAGTGGTGCTACTATTATCAGAGTTACAGGTACTTCTGAACTAGTAGAAAGTCTGTTGAGGTTGAGACATCTGCGGGGGGGGGGCTTGTGTCTTGAAAGGGGGCAAGTAATAGGGGACTGAACTATCCTTTGACAAGCTGGGAGGCAGTAAAAGGGACGCACTGATTACCAGTTAGATTGGAGTCCATTGATGCCAGTTTGGTGTAGTGGTTAAGAGCATGGACTCTAATCTGGGAGAACTGGGTTTGATTCCCCACTCCTCCACTTGCACCTGCTGGTGTGACCTTGGGTCAGTCACAAGCTCTCTCAGAGCTGTTCTCTCAAGCGCTGTTTTCAAGAGAGCTCTCTCAGACCCACCTACCTCACAGGGTGTCTGTTGTGGGGAGGGTAAGGGAAAGGACTGAGACTCCTTCGGGTAGTGAAGGGTGGGGTATAAATCCAATCTCTTCTCTCTCCTTAGTGAGCAAAAAGATTTTGGGGATATAAGATTTGGAGAGTCAAAGCTCCCATTGTTGGATATCAGTGACCACTGATTACCAGTGAGTCTGATGGGAAAGCCCACCCACATTGACCCTGTTTTCTTTTATTTGTTAGGGTGCCTTACAGCATCATATGGGAAAACCCACCCACATTGACCCTGTTTTCTTTATTTGTTAGGGTGCCTTACAGCATCATTCTGTCGTCCGTTTCATCTTCCTAATCAACCTCTCAGGTGTTCAGGTGGGACACAGTGATGGGCCCAAGGTGATCCAGGACAGAGAGGGGATTTGGCCCTGGGTCTCACAGACCTTACTGTGTTTTCTAATAGTAAAACCCCATGGCCTCTCTCGGGGAGGCAGCCACGTGGCCTGAAGCAGGTTTGGTTCTATTGGCACAGCCTTTTCCCTCGTGCTCGGCTTGGCTATAAAGACTGGGGTGGGGTGGGGAGTGCGCAATACCTGTCTGGCTAAAGCGTTTGTAAAGGTGAAGGTTCCCTTGCTCGAAAGCCAGTCGAATCCGACTCTAGGGTTGCGGTGCTCATCTCCGTTTCAAAGCCGAAGAGCCAGCGCTGTCCGAAGACGTTTCCGTGGTCATGTGGCCGGCATGACTAAACACCAAGGCGCGCGGAACGCTGTTCCCTTCCCACCGAAGTGGTACCTATTTATCTAGTTGCAATTTCTTGCTTTCGAACTGCTAGGTTGGCAGGAGCTGGAACTAGAGAGGGGAGCTCACTCCGTCATGCGGCACACTCGGGTCCCGAACTGCTGAACTACTGACCTTCCACAGCCTGCCGTTCAGCATCTTAACCACTTGAGCCACCGCAGCTCCTAAAGCATTAGTATCCCACCCTTTTTACAAAGCAGCTCAAGGTGGGGTCCATCCTTCCCCCGTTTGCATTTCACCACAGCCCCATCTGGTAGGTGAGGTTGAGTGAGTACGTCCTTGACTCGAAGTCACCCAGCAAGCTTTGTGTGTGTGTGAGGGTGTGTGTGTGTTTGAACCTGGCTCTGCTGTATCCTAATCCTAAGACTAGCCCCTGTGTCACACTGGCCCATGGAGTTACCAAGCTGAGCAAAGGCTGTGTGATTGGCCTTCCTGGGAGAAATTGCACAGTGGAACACAGTTCCCCCCCCCCCCCCCCCCCCCAGTCCCTGAACACATTCCAACAAAATGCGGCACCCTTCAATTTTCATCCTAGGCACAACTGGGCCACTCCAGCTGCTTCTGTGGCAAATGTCTCTGTTCGGCAGCCAGGTTGATAGAAACCTTCAGGACCCAGTACAAAAAAAGGGAAGGCAGGTTTCTCCCTCCTGTAGTGATTTGCAGTTGGGTAGCAGTTCGAAAGCAAGAAATTGCAAGTAGATAAATAGGGACCAATAGGTAACAGCGTTCCGTGCGCCTTGGTGTCTAGTCATGCCGGCCACATGACCACGGAAACGTCTTCGGACAGCGCTGGCTCTTCGGCTTGGAAACGGAGATGAGCACCGCAACCCTAGAGTCGGATTCGACTGGCTTTCGAGCAAGGGAAACCTTTTCCTTTTTTAGAGAGAAACATGGGTACAAAACATATATATGCAGCCGCCCTGAGCCTTCGGGGAGGGTGGGATACAAATTCAAATAAATAAATAAATATAAATTGGTTGTGAAGGGTACATGACGTGCACGGTTCTGTGCGTTGATGGGAAGAAGAGACAAAGGATGTGCCCGTTAAGACAGCCTGCTGTTCTTGATATGAGAAGCGCAGAGGATGCTGTCTGAGCCGAAGCCATAGGCTGCACTGCACTCAGAGCAGGGCTGGATTTAGATTTGCTGAGGCCCTAAGCTATACAAAACCCAGAGGCCCCCTACTGTTTTAAATTACATCAGCTGGTCTCAGAAAAATTTAAAATATATACACCCTTTTAATATTTGAAATCATTTTTATATTGTGTTTTTATTTGAGGCCCCAGCAGATTGCGAGGCCCTAAGCTGTAGCTTATTTAGCTTATGCGTAAATCCGGCACTGACTCAGAGAAAGCAGCGTTCGAGGCGAGAGCTGGGAGTAAGACTGCAGTTCTCCTGCGCTCTTCCCTCCCTTTTGGGCTTCCTCAGCGCAGCCGGTGAAGCGGATCGAGGCTTTCCTGCGTTAGCTCAGCAGACGTCTCTGGCGATTTGAGCCATTGAGAACTTCTGTGAGTCATTCCACTCCCCCCACCCCCTTCATGTTGCAGCCTCCGAGACATTGGCCGGATCTGAGAGCATCGCCCCCCCTCCTTGGCCGAGGAATTACTTGTATGGATGTCCCTAGGGTGGGAGTCGGGGTGCTGCAGGATATCAGGGCCGGCCCTAATTACCGAAAGGAGGCAC